GTTCTCAGGGCCTATGGAGCCACAGAGCTGATTCCCTTGGCCCAGGGTGTGGTGCAGAGCCTGGCCTGCTGGAGCTGAGGACTCCGGCTCCAGAGAGGGTCAGGAGCCCACTACAGCCCGGCCTCAGCATAAAATCCCAGGACCTTTGGAGTCCAGGCTCCCCCGCTTTCAGCCTGGAAGTATCTCTTTCCCTAGGGCTATAACCACTGCCCCTTCCAAATCTCACCTCAAATGCCCGTAGCATCTCTGCCTACCTCTCTCAGGCCTAGCCCCAATCCTGGGGCTCCCAGAAACTTGCTGAGCCTCCCAAATGAGCCCCGTGACACTTTGGGAGCCTGACTCACACACTGCCAAGATCCCAGCTCTTACTGGGAATTGTCAAGGCTGGGTCTTCCCTTGATCCTTAGAAAGGCTGAGAATCAAGGAGCCAGTACAGCAGCCAAAGCCCCAAATGATCCTTCATCCAGCCAGGAGAGGGCCTTTGGGGAGGGCAAGGGAAATAGAGGGATCAAAGAGCTGCCAGACACCAGGGTGGTTAGGGATGAGGCCCCACTGGTGGCTCAGAGTCCCAGCCAAGAGCCCATGGCCTTTGTAACCCCAGGTAGCTGCCCCAAGAACACCTGGCCCAGCAATGCCATCCTGTCCCCCTTCATCTTCTAACAGTCACAGGAGGCACCACTGCAGCCCAGCCCCAGGCAGACCAGGCCTAGAAAGACGGCCCAGACAGCCCACCATTCCGGCCACCAACCTCCTGCCTTTGTGACATCACAGCCTGGTTGGGTGTGGCCACACACACACCCTTCTAGATGAGGTGATTGTGTATCAAGAGCTCCAATGGGAAAGGGATTGGCCTCCTGAACAGAAAGAGGCCAAAAGGGAGGGCCCTTTGGAACAGTTTGGCTCTGGGAGGGGCGGAGGTGCGACCCACACCTCTGCCCTGATGGCAGCTGGCTTCCTCCTGACACTAATGCAGCCCCCAAATGGGGTGGCGCCCCCACAGCCACCTGCAGCCCTCAGCCAGGTCCCAGCATGGGCATAAAGGAACCACTGAGAAGCAGAACCACAGAGAAACCTCTTGTCCCTCTGAAAATTCAGGTTACAGTCTGTTCAGCACCTGAGAAAGGGACCTCAGGGCATCACAGCTCAAGGAACAGGAGGGTGTCTCTGTGGTGGCCCCAGCCTCTCCTTCACACCCAGAGTCTGCCCAGGCTGCACCCCAAGGCATATACCAGTACCTAGAGCTTTGAGAGGCTGGGGGAACCCTTGACCCCATATCTCTGGGAACGTCAGAAATCTGATGAACACCTCTCCACAAAGCACGGGCCCCAGCTGAAGCCCTCTTCCCAGGTCATGTGAAAGCAAGGCCCCTCACCTGTTGGGGGCACCCCTCTCTGCCCTTACGCCCCTCCTTCCAGCCTGCTCTCCCCCAACTCTGCTGCCCCAAAGATGTGGGCCCAGGGCTTCCTGTTGGACACAGCAGAGTCCTAAGCCTGGCTCCCTGCAGGCGCTGTGTGCCTGGGGAAAGCTACTCCACTGCCCCAGCCTCCATTTCCTCAGGAGTAAGATGGGGATGGGGGCATCTACTTCCCAGGGTGAATGTGACTCCCTCCTCTCTCTCCGGGCTCTCTGCCTCTGGAGTAGAAGGCTGGGCCCTTCCCGAGCTCAGCCAATACCAGCCACAGATATAACAGGGCACTGGGGAGAAGATGGGGCGAGGAGTGGGTCATCCAACCTGCGACCTCTGACCCTCCCCCACCTGCCCCTCGCACAGCTCCTGTGGGAATCCAGTTCCCTTGCTCTTTGGTGATGGGGTGGAATTAGGGAAAGAAGTCCTGTGGCCTGCCACAGTCCAAGTCCTGAAGCAAAAATGGGGACGCACACGAGGGGCTCCCAATCCACTCTTTGCTCACTATCACCCAGACCCTCCTGAGGCCCTCAAATGCCAAAGGGAGCAAAAGCCTACCCCAGTCCCTTCCCATCGCCGACCTTTCCAGCAACCTGGAAAGACCAACCCAACTCTTCCCTCTCAAACTGCTTCCCTGAGCATCGTTTTTAGAGGAGCGACACCTCTGTGTGGCTATAAAGAACCTACGTGATTGTGGCTCTCTCCGGCTTCCTACGGATACACACATCCCTGGAGCAGAGAACAAGCTGGATGCAGCTCACCCGCTGCCAGAGACCCAGTTTGGGCACCTAGGGCACCTTCTCTCCAACCCTTGGCCCACCCAATCCCCTGGAAATCCCTAGGTTCGGCTCCTGAGCACCAAGACTGGCCACAGACAGAGCTTCCCCCTCCCCCCACCCCGACACACACAGGCTGATAGTACACTCCCAAGTCTGACTTTTCCTGACGATCTCACTCGGGACCCTCCTCCCTGCATCCTCGGGGATGCTGGAATGCTGTGGCCTGCAGAGACAGACAGGCAGGAGGATTGGGTCAGTCCTGTTTCTCCTGCCCTCCTCCCCCTTCCCCTTGGCTGTTTGACTTGTCATCTCTGGCTGGGTTGAAGGTGGTAAAGGGGTGAACAGCAGAGCTGAGATGTGGGTCAAGCTTGTCTCCTGCACCAGGAGTCAGGGACATCTCCTGGGCTGTGCATTTCCCTCAAACTGTCAGCTGCAAGAACGCAAGCAAAGTCTCCCTTAAGCCAAGAGGGCTGGCCGGCTTTTGAGAGAGCAGGACCGCAATTCCTGTCGGCTCTGCAGCCCCATCGCGCTGGGCCGAAGCAAAGGGAGGCTGGTGCTGGCAGAGCGGCACCAAACGCAGACTCGGCCCCTCTCGAGTGTGCCCAGAAGGCAAAGAGCCACCCAGGTGCCTTCCTCGGAGCCTGGCCAGGACTTCAGTGCAAACCCTTCTCTGCATCTCACCCACTCCTGGGGGTCACCAAGGGATGGGAGTCTTGAGGGGAAATAGGTGAGAGCCATCCTCTTAACAACCCCAGTGCCATCCACACCCTTCTCCAACCGGCTGAGGTCAATGAAAGAAAAGATGGGCAGGCTCCCTGACCCCGGAGTTCTTGCTTTCTCTCCCCCGACCCTTTGCTTCTGCCCCCATCCCCACCAAAGAAAACATAACAGGAAGAAAAGAGCAGGCCACCACAGGTCTCACTCAGACGGGGCAGAAGCAAGCAAACGCCAGCCAGAGTTCGATTTTCCAAATAAACGGATCTACACGATCATTCAAGAAACCCCCTCCCCCAAAACACAGGCCCTCCCCTCTCCCCTCACCATCCTGCCTCGGAATTATTCGGAGCAGTTAGCAAAGCCCAAACAGGGAAGGGATCTGTAGGCGCCCAGAGCCCAGATGCAGATGAGGGTGGGAAAGGGGGGTATCTCGGAAATGCCCAAAATGGGGTTGGAGAGGGCGGCGAGAGGAAAAGGGAAGAGGTAGGCGTCCATGACGGCCAGGACACGTCCAAAGTCTCCCCACGAGCAGCCAGCTCCCAACTTGTTTACTTGTCAGCATGTTTTGCTGTTTCCAAAAGGAAATAGTTAAACAGCTCGGCTGGATCGCAAGCAGTCCTTATCTGTCACCTTCCCACCCGGCTAAGCGCTGCCGCGGCCGCCGCCGCTGTCCCTGTCGCCGCCTCTGCCAAAGAATCGAACCTAGTCTACTTTATTCCACTTGAGCGTGGCCAAACTGTTGCTATTTAGTGGGGGGCAAAGAACCCATGATGCACCCTTGAAACGAGCCAGCAGCG